CCTTCTGCGACCGGCGGAGAGGTGCGTGCTTCCGTCTCCTGTCAAGGACAAAATCATTTTTCTCTTTTACTATTACAGCCTAAAAATCCTGAAGGCTTAAGGAAAGTTTGTGTCCACACGTTTCAAAGCAAATCTGTAAAGATGGGGTCAGGGAGCAGGGAGGCAGACATAGCTCTTTAGAAGTATACATTATGTACCTAAGGTCACGGATGTGAATTTAAACTACGAAAAAAAAAAGCAGTATGGGAGCGAACAGATTATGCTTGCTGGAGTAAGAGGACACGAAAGGCCCAGTTTTGCACTGAAGGCCAAATAAAATGGCAGAGGCCTGCAACAGCTGTTGTGGCTGCTAATTTGAGGTCTGTTCAGAAACTGCTTAGGAACCCCAGGGGGACTGGCCAAAGCGTCTGCAGCAAGAGAGCTGGAAAGGATAACCTAGTGACCTGAGGATCTATACCTCCACCTTCCACACTTCCCCTCTTAACAGCAGCTACAGGACACTTGCTGAGCGGCTGTGAGCCACCAGAGCTCAGAACAACACAAAGGCAGACCAGGCACACACGGCTGACGGTAGGGCTGACACACACAAGCACGCACCGAGTTAAAGCCAATTGCAGCAGAGTCTGCACATGACATGCCGCATGCTGCTCACTTCCGGGAGGGGACAATGCAAGAACTGGTGGCAGGAGCTAAACACACTGGAATCTTAAGACATTCTATTTTAGAAACTAGTAGAGTTAATTAGGCAGAGATGTTAAGTGCTTTCAGTGATCTCTTTTTAAGATGTTTTCCATGCATGCTTATTGGTGTTACATGATAGACACAGTTAAGAATCAGATAAGGCCGGGCGCGGTGGCTCACGCCTATAATCCTAGCTCTCTGGGAGGCCGAGGCAGGCAGATCACTCAATCTTAGGAGTTCGAAACCAACCTGAGCAAGAGTGAGAGCCCGTCTCTACTATAAATAGAAAGAAATTAATTGGCCAACTAATATATATAGAAAAAATTAGCCGGACATGGTGGCGCATGCCTGTAGTCCCAGCTACTCGGGAGGCTGAGGCAGTAGGATTGCTTGAGCCCAGGAGTTTGAGGTTGCTGTGAGCTAGGCTGACGCCACGGTGCTCACTCTAGCCTGGACAACAAAGCGAGACTCTGTCTCAAAAAAAAAAAAAAGAATCAGATAAGTTTCAGTAAAGGTAATGGCATTTACTGTTTCCTAAGCAGAGACGTCAATGGAAAGGCCTTTCCCTGTCACTGCAGGAGAATCCTGTGCCATGCGCTGCTCACCAGCAATGTCTTACATCAGAAAGGCTGCATGTGGCCCACCAAATCTGTATGTTGAGCTGCCTGTGTTTTCCCTATATCTGCTGGGCTCCAGGACTCAACTTTTCAGGATAAAGATCTGATGTTTTAATTTCAATACAAGTTTTCATTTCAAAGCCTTTCTCTTCACTGTTCAAAACTGGAAGAAGCCAGAGTTGAGACAGTTATTCACGATCCTTTCATCCATTAATTTATATGTGTTCAGCAAAACACACCACTTCTGAGTCCATACAAAACACATTAGCTTGTTCAAATTTCTGGAAGAGAACAACCAGGCCCAGGAGCCATAGCTAAGACACGGAGACGCCTAGTCAAAGAGGTTCAAAGGACGGTGCCAGCAAGATGGGAAGGCTGGCACCAAGTTTCTGACCCTCCTGTGAAGGAAAGGTTGGCTGATCAACTAGTCTTAGAGAATGGCAGAGCTTAAGGTACCTTGAAAACTACCTACCCTTACCTCCTCCTTTAACAGAGGAAAGAGGCAGGGCTGGAAGGAGACATTGCTGGTTCCAGCAAAGATGAAACTACAGCCTCATTCCCCACAGATCTTAATGTTAGTTATCCTGACTCTGAAGTAAAAACATCTTTGAAAACATAACAGGACTGAAGATCATTAATGAGTTAAATAATATTCCACTTTGTTTTAGTTATTGAGTTCTGAGTAATAAGTGATAACTTGCATTCCTGCCCAGGCAATTCATTTGCCACCTATGTGATTGTAGCAATCCCTCAGATGCCCATTTATGCAAAGTGAGAACAGGGACCAGTTCATCCTAGGTCACAATCAAGGTGCTTTTCGGATGCTCTTACCTTCTCTCAGTTGTACTTGGAGGACTTCATCAGAGAATGTTCTGCAAGTTCTTTGGCTGTGGCTGAACCAATAATGACTTTAGAGTCCTTAGTAGATGACTGTCAAAGTCGAATTGAGTTTCAGTCAAGAACTCATTCAACCAAGAAGAAAACACTAGGTGGCTTCCAGAGCTTTGAGGGTGTGAGTTGGTTTCAATTCTTGCTCATGTGGTAGGTTCAGGAAGTAGCTGAGCCATCAGCGAGTAATTTCCAAATAGTCAGTTATTTAGAGGGGCAACTCTCCAGAGAAGTGCAAAATCAGACAAGAACCTATTACTCACAGTTGTCTGATGTCCTGCCAAATGCAGTGACAGCCAAGAAACATTCTGATGCCTAATTTTAGTAATATACCATGTTCTCATTGGTCTCAGTTCTAAACTTTTGAAATGTTTTGTGATAAAGGATTAAACTGCTTGATTGGGGAAGTAGGTTTGCAAATCACTGGGGGGAAAAAAAAAAGAAAAAAAACATTGGCCGGGTGCGGTGGCTCACACCTGTAATCCTAGAACTCTGGGTGGCCTAGGCAAGTGGATTGCTCGAGGTCAGGAGTTTGAAACCAGCGTGAGCAAGAGTGAGACCCTCGTCTCTACTATAAACAGAAAGAAATTAATTGGCCAACTAATACATATAGAAAAAATTAGCCAGGCATGGTGGCGCATGCCTGTATTTCCCAGCTACTTGGGAGGCTGAGGCAGAAGGATTGCTTGAGTCCAAGAGATTGAGGTTGCTGTGAGCTAGGCTGACGTCATGGCACTCACTCTAGCATGGGCAACAAAGCAAGACTCTGTCTCAAAAACAAAAACATTCTGTGTTAAAAAAAAAAATTGACCTTAAGTTTGAAGATGCAGGATACACCATATGGAGTCCTAAATTATCGGGACGCACACAGAGATCTCCTATGAGATTAGGGTTCAACTTGTATAGTCTGGCCTGTATCTTAGAATCTGTATAGTCTGGCCTGTATCTTGTATAGTCTGGCCTGTATAATCTGGCCTGTATCATTATGTAAGAAATGTAACATCTCATATGATAACCTATTCAGGGCCACCACAGAAACTCAGGACTTGTCTTTTTACCATGTATTGTTAAAACAACACATATATGAAGCAATACAGATTATGACTTGGTTCTTCTTCCAAAGACACATAATATGGAAGCAAGACAAAGAGAAATAAATGAAAGCAGACAAAAAAGCAAACCAGGAGACCTCACAATCATTTCAATAGGGAACACTATAAATCTAGTCTTCCTATTTTCCTTCTACCTTCACTTAAAAATCATATCCTTTGGTGGCCAGATGGTAGAGATGTGACTATAAAATAAGGATCTTAACCCTTTGCACTCGGATGTTGAGTGTGACTCGACACAGTTAGCAAAAATTATAGAGATTAAAATTACTCTTTGAATGTATCAATAATTTGAAATATAAAAAAATCCAAATAAATAAGTTTGTATGCAAAGAAACTTGAGTGTTTTATTCTACTGCCACACTTTGTAAAATCTGGGGTATTTAAAAAATTAAATCCTGAGTAGAATAAAGGAATCGAGAAAAAAGCAAGCGAGTACAAAGGGTTAATGATGTGCACCTGTAGTCCCAGTTACTTGGGAGGCTGAGGTGGGAGGATTGCTTGAGCCCAGGAGTTTGAATCCAGCTTGGGTAACACAGGGAGACTCTCCCTACTCCCATCGCAAAAAATATATAATAAATAGAATAATGCTCTTGATTTTGACTTTTCAAAAGGAAATTGTGGTACTAGCTACATGTCTGACTGGGATCTTTCTCTAGAGGCCATTTTATGTAAAAGTCACAAAAAAATGAGAGATTAATTGTAACAGGATTGACAGGAGGATCAAAACAGAATTCTGAGAAGAACTCTACCCTTGTCAATGCCATGAAATTCATGATAACAGAACATCAGACCCAAAGGCTCAGAAGCAAGGCAATAATCCCAAAAAATGTCTTTTGTTAGGGTAACTATGCAGACCAATATTCAGAATCCACTAAACTGGATTTAAAAAGACTGTATTTCATATTTGAGATATCTGAAAATGCAACACAATTTGCTAAAACCAAGAATCTCAAAGTTAAGGTCACTGATTCTTGACTGGAGAAAGATAACATTGCATTAGGTAAAGCCTAAAACACTGTTCATAATCTTGTCTATAAACTATTTAAATTGTAAATAATAATGAACTTTGAGCCTACCTTAGAAACACTTTCCTCTAAACACTGCTGTTAAGTAAAGCTCCCTGGGCTGATGCACTGCGTGGTTCTGCCTCTCAAGAGCAGAGGGCACGCCACACGTCTGCGAAATGCACGCTTTCCACCCCCACCCCTTTTAATAAAATGTTTCACGTCAACGCCTTTCTGAAGTCTCCCATGGGCATTGCATGTCCCTGGGACAGGAGGAGAGAGTCCTTTACCTGGTGGCAATTCCCCTTGGCAGGGGCCTGTGCAGAGAGCTGCGTTATAGCATGTACTAGTGTGCGATGCCCTATGCTAATAAACACCAAGATTTAATGAGCATCCTAGGCATGACTTGTATTCTTTAAACCTAGGAGGACACTTGGCTGAACTTGCCCTACATACATATGTGAAGAGTTTTGCATCACCTCATGCTAGAGAATGCAGTGGCTGAGCCCTGGATGGAATGTTCCCAGTGGGGTAGTGGTGGCAGAGTGATCCTTGTAAAGGAGCGCAGAATCTGGCACAGAGAGACACAAAGTGCCTCATCCCCACCAGGAAGCCCCATGCATGGTGATTTAGTGAGAAGCCAAGCTTGAGCTTGGTGCCCATTGGACTCACGGAGGGCCAGCCTGCTGGCCACCCACCTGCTGTGGCCCTGCATGTCCCCCAGCTCCTTCTGCAGCCTGGCATTCTTCTCCTCCTCCTCCAGCAGCCTCCTCTTCACAGCGCGCAGCTCCTGCTGGGCCTCGCACTTGATGTCATTGGCTACCACCACCGCCGTCTGCAAGTCCGCCTGGAACCGCCTCCACTCCTCCGTCTCCTCCTGAAAATGCGGAGCCCACCCACGTCAGGTGCTGCGAGGCCCACCACCAGAAGGCCGGCTGGCAGTGCGTGGCCAGGTCCTGCTTCAACAGCATCTCCTGACGGGACAGGGCATGGGTGGGAAGTCCACCTTCACGCCATCAGCGTTCTCCACCCTAAAACTGAACGCCTGCTTTTATTTTACTTCCTGCCAACAAGAATTTATGGTTTTAGGGCCCAAACCACAGAAATGGTCCAAGAGAAAGCAGGGCAGAGAGTAACCCCGACCTAAGAGGGGGTAATTCACAGGAAGATGATGGCGAGGCTCCGCCACTGCTCTGGCACACACCTCACCTTTATCTGCTTCCTCAGAGCCTTCAGCTGCCTCTCCAGGTCTGACTTCTGCTCCTCCAGCTTGATCACGCTACCTGGAAATAAACAATTCAGGCAAGTACTGGAAGTCATGACTCTCGAAAGGTGAGCTAGGCGGCCAAGGGGCAGCTTGGCATGCCGCAACAGGCTTTCAAATCCACCCATTCTATTATAATCGAGTATGTGATTTTTAGCACTTCAAAGACAGGGAGCTGGAAGTGTGAGGTTCCTCCAAGACAGAAAGGGGATGATTTGGAAAATATTTAATAAATGGTGTGTGTTTAGGTTACAGCCTCAGAAGACAGGTTGTACAACGCTGCTGCACACGATAACCGCTCGCACACCCACGCCGGGCCTCCCTGATACCACACATGGCATGCCGAACGTCCTTCATGGCTGTGGGGCAGAGGGCTTTTGTGTAATAGAAGAGATGGCTGGTTGCTACCCCTGTGACTTCTAAACCAGTTTCCAGAGTCATGGTTTTAATCGCAGTTAAGCCTCGGAACCACTCATGACACTTTCCAGAAGCACAGATCTAGCCCAGGCCCACGGAGCCAGAATCTCCAAGGCAGACAGAATCTGGGCGTGCGTGTTTCAGCAGCTTCACAGGGGGCCTGCCCACCTCTCCCTGCTGAAGCACATCTTCAGCCCCTCCGTCTCCCGCCTCCGATTCTCTCCACATCAGAGCATTTAAATTTATATCTGATCATGTCAATGCCCGAGTTAAATTCCTCAATGGTTGTCCCTGCTCCAACCTCGAGCAGCAGGTGTCTGTTAGGGTGTGAATCAGAGTCACCAGAGGAGGCTTAAAGCAAATGCGCAGACAGGCCCTGCCCCAGTACCCTGCTCAGCATGTGGGGCCTGAGAGCTTGTGTCTGGGGTCAGCGCTGCCGAGTAAGAAAACTCTCCTTAACTTCTTTTTACTTTTCAGTCCATTTCTCTCAAAGCTTTTATGGGAAGGAGTGATTGGTCTAGGGCTGGATTTGTGTGTCCCTGGGTCTCTCAGCAAAAAGATGTCTTAATACCTTAATATCCTTAACTGAAGTTAAAAAGCTTTCCCAAAGATGGCCAGCATTATTTTCACTCTTGGATATATGATGATATAACTACACGGGGTGGGCCTGAAATTTACTCTGAACATTAATTATACACTAGTTTTCTTGGTGTGTCTATGCTGACTTTTAAGGAATTAGGGACAATACAAATACTCTCAACAGCAATATATTACAAAAACAAAACAAAACAGAACTTGTCGTCTTTTACCTTATTCTTTGCAAGCGTGGGGCTATGTTTGGAAATCTACATCAGTCGATGATGCCTGGGTTTCCAGCTGAACCCTGAGACCAGCCTGCATGGCACCGACACTGGCGCCAGGCCCTAGGACTCTCCTGTGCGCAGCACCTCAGGGGAAAGGAGCTGCCACTGCCAACTTTCAAGCTAGCCAACTAATCAAGGTCTAGAGCCCAACCAATTCTCATTATCTATGATAGCTACATAAAGCTGTCATGCATACTCAATTAGCAAATCCTGTACTTTGCTCATAGGGGAAATACAGGGTTAGGTTCCTGCCAGGCTCTGGTCACGACATTTTCATCACCCAAAATGCCATTTGCCTTATCAGGTTCATCTGTCCAGGTCCTTATAGAACAAACCAGTCTCATCATTAGAAACCTGCTCTTCCATTTATCTCTTCCTGCATATAGCACTGAGCAAGTACTTTTAAAATTCTTCTACTTCGGCCGGGCGCTGTGGCTCACGCCTGTAATCCTAGCTCTTGGGAGGCCGAGGCGGGCGGATTGCTCAAGGTCAGGAGTTCAAAACCAGCCTGAGCAAGAGTGAGACCCGTCTCTACCAAAAATAGAAAGAAATTAATTGGCCAACTAATATATATAGAAAAAATTAGCCGGGCGTGGTGGCGCATGCCTGTAGTCCCAGCTACCCGGGAGGCTGAGGCAGAAGGATCACTGGAGCCCAGGAGTGTGAGGTTGCTGTGAGCTAGGCTGACGCCACGGCACTCACTCTAGCCTGGGCAACAAAGCGAGACTCTGTCTCAAAAAAAAAAAAAAAAAAAAAAAAATTCTTCTACTTCCTCCTGATCCGCTGAACCTGCCTTGCCTGTAAGGTTAACTTTTCTCACATCTTAGGGCCTTATGAAATTTGCAGCCAGGCAGCATTAGATGAGATGAGTTTAATGTTTCCCTGGCCCTCCCTGGGCAATGTGAACATACATTTCTTTGGTTTTTGGCCTCAAAAAAATGCTGTCCACTACTTCTTAAAACTGGCTGTCATCTCACAAATCCATGAATGTGGCCACATTTCCATCTTTCCATAGCTTCGTGACACACTGCAGATGTCACTTAGCACTCCTCAGGGCAGCCTTACATGTGCACTGTCAAAGTTCCTCCTCCGTCCAGACACTCTGTCTCGTGGATTCAGTAACACTGAGCTCGCGCTCAGCAGCGCAACGGCTCCTGCCCCAGTGGAGCTCATCTACACACGGACTCCCCTGCACGGCACGGCACAGCCTTCTCGTGCTGAGGGACAGCAGACGGCATTTCAGCATTGTGCCTGGGGCCACTTTAAACAATAAAACCACTTCTAACAAGCACAAATATGTTATTAAATAGACCGTGAAAAAGACACATGCACAGATCACGAGAACTGAACCAAAATTGCAGTGTCACTGTTTGACCTCAGTTGGGAATGTGAGTGCGGGACGACTGAACTTTTTTGCCTGTGTATGTCCAAAAATGACTGCAAAAGTGCTGGGAGTACTGATTTCAGGTTACAAATACATTTTAGCAAGTTGGTGAATTCATAAATACGGAGCCTGTGAATAATGAGGATCAACTGTGCACACTGGGGAACTTCTCAGGCAACTGACCGAGCTACTATTTTTTAGTAATGGCGAATGTAACTAAAAGCTTTGTGCATTAAATCCTTTGTTAATAAAAGCAAAACACATGAGATGTGATAATTTGACAACGCTTATTTGGACAAAGCAGGCAATGTTTAACTAATCTCTTTTAAAATGTCTTCCCTTCTTCAGCGCAAGCAATGAGTTCATAAATAAGCCATATACTGACGCCTCTTCAGTAACTAAGTGGCCAACATCCATGAGTTATTTGACGTCCCACCATCAATGGGACACACGCTGGAGCACACGTTATTCATCCCACTCTGCCCCCACACGCACATCTCTCTCTGTGAGACCCGCAAGACAACACAGTGCCCTACTTGAAGACTGGAGCAAGCAGTCTTCTCTGGATAGCCCTCTCCACCCCGACGGCCGTCCTCAGGAAGTCTGCGTGAACTCTGACACGGCCACAGCTGACCTGCCCTAAGCGGCCTCCAAGCAGGCCGGGCTGCCGAAAGACAGAGCAGCAGGTTTAGGGGCTCAGGCACGGCATACCTAGTACATCCAAAACGCTCTTCCGCCATCACCGGGGCTGCTGACTCCTGCTCAAGAGTCTTTTCTCTCTCATCCAGGTTTCGAGTTAGTCTAAGAGATTAACTTTTCCTAAGTGTTATTCTTCCTGGTTACCAAACACTGAAAAGACTCTTCATAAACCCCAGCAAGCATGGTTAAAAGCCCTCCCCAGGCACCCCTACAACTGGGTTCTTTAGCACCCTACTCACACCTGTTCCATGTTTCGCCTGGGCTTGGTTTCACTTACTTTCTAACTCACTAATGAGCTGATTATTGTGTAACTTGACGGCCCGGTGCTGCTCCACCTGATCTTCCAATTCAAATATGGTTTCTTTCATGTCCTTGATCTCCGCGTCACTCTCTGACGCTTTCTCCTGCAGCTTCAGGCTGGTTCTGCTCAGCTGTTCTGCCTGATGATCACATAGCTCCTTCAGGTAAGCATAGTCCTTTTCCACCTAAAATAAAAGGAAGGTTCGCTGTCAGTTTAACAAGAAAGACCCGCACCGCGCACGTATGCTCCCAGCACGTGCCGGCTCCTGCCCGCCAGCCTCTGGGCCCAGGCGCGCAGGCCCAGACCCTTCCCGCGCGCAGACGCGCGCACGCGTCGGCACGGCCCTCCCCAGCGCACCGGCCCTCCCCAGCGGCACCGGCCCTCCCCAGCGCACCGGCCCTCCCCAGCGCACCGGCCCTCCCCAGCGCACCGGCCCTCCCCAGCGGCACCGGCCCTCCCCAGCGGCACCGGCCCCACCGGCCCTCCCCAGCGCACCGGCCCTCCCCAGCGCACCGGCCCTCCCCAGCGGCACCGGCCCTCCCCAGCGGCACCGGCCCTCCCCAGCGGCACCGGCCCTCCCCAGCGGCACCGCCCGCCGCGCTCGCAGCCGATGCAGCGGCGCCCCCTGCTGGGCAGCCGCGAGCAGCGCCCGGCCGAGCGCGCCCCGCAGCGGCGGCCGGCTCCCAACGCAGATGGGAGCGTGCGCCACAAACAGAAAGGTGGCAAGGCACAGTCGTTTCACCTGTTCAATTTTTATTAAACATGCAGAAAAGCACCCAAAATAAGATAAGCGTGCCCCTAAACAGACTTAACAGTAGCTGAAATTTGCCGTACGTGCTAAATATTTTTACTTCTAATATTTGTTAAAGCCTCAACCTTCCCTCCCACATCAGAAACTAATGGGCATTATCCAAAAACTAGGATGTGGTCATTCCTTGAAAGTTTTTCACGTTTACTACATAGGTGTGTGTCCATGATAATACATATTATTGTTTTGGATGTTTGAAAACTTTTACACAGTGATTTTGTATCATGTTTTTGCGCTGTCCTGTATTATACTGCATGCTGTAATAAGGCAACATGCTTTGTCCCCCACTGCACCCTGCTATTTGTGCTCTTGCAGTTTGTTTTTAAGTGTGTTTGAGATGTCTCCTTACTGATACACATTGTGCTAGGTCGTTACATTGCTTCATAGTATTCTACTATCTGGATATATTATGAAAATGTTGCAATAAACATCACTGTCCCTTTTCTACAGTCTTTTAATTAACATCACTAAGTAGCTGTATATTTACCAGGTAATCTAAGCTTGATAGCTTTCTAGATTTGTGGGGTCTTCATGTGCAATAAAACGTTGTTTCCAATTACACTTTATGTGTAAAACTTTCTGGCTGTAAGCTCTATGGGGACAGGGACTTCATTCACCATTGTATCCCTAGTGTTGACACAGTGTCAGACACACAGGAGGCACTTAATAAATATTTGATGGATGAATGAATGCATGAACAGGCATTGGAAGGCAGCACTGCAGTGTCATTCAACTGGGAAGGTATGGTAAAGAAAATGGAAGGAGGTCAGGAAGGAAGGAAATGGAGAGAGAACCATGGGGAAGCAGCAGAGTGCACTGCCTGTGTTAAGGGATGGCCATAAAAGATACATCATTGCAGGCTGTGGTGCAAAGTTTGAAAGCTGCTGAAGCATATCAAAATTACTAAGGATGCATACTCTAGAGCCAGACTTCCAGGGCTGAAATCCCAATTCTACCAAATCAAGACTTGTATTCTTTAATCCCTCTGCCTCAGTTTCCACATCTTAACAGTGGGTGCAGTTAAATGAAATAATGCACTTAGATTATCACAGTGCCTGGCACATAGTAAACACTCAATAAAAATCATTCTTTCCCTCATAACTGCCTTAGGACTTATGCATACAGTATTAAATAATATAGATCCACTTGACCAAGAAAATCACAATACTAGAAAAGACCAAAAGTCTTATATCTTAACTATAGCTACTTTATTAAATACGAGATGACTTTTAAGGAGAAAAGCGCACTGCATTTTAGATACTAGAAAGAAGGCTGATGTATGAAAGCATTTGAAAAGCAGCAGCAGAAGGCAGCTTCTGGGTCTTACACCTGGGGCAGCCCGGGGCCTTTTGCAGAGCTGGCAGCTGCATGCTGGGGGCTCTCAGGCTGAGGGCCTGTCACCTGGAGTCTAGAAATATGCATGTGATTTGGCTGGGGCTACTGTGGGTCAGGAGTAAAACCGGGGACTGTAACAAGGCAACCTGGAGGCAGAGTACTCTGAGAAAGGTCTCAGCATGCAGGTGAGGCTGCTGGCCCGCAGAGGCTCCTACCTCTCTTCACTTCTCCTGTGCCAGCTCCTCCCACCGATCCATTGCAGGCACCAAATGGTGACTCGGGCAGGGGGGAACACGTGATGGGTTTGGGTGCAGACTGCAGGGATCAGTAAACCTCCAAATCAGTATACCACTTCAAATGCACACATCATTTCTTGATGTTGAAATAATTCTCTCAACTACAACAATATATGCCAGAAACCTCTTTTATTTAAAAAAAAAAAAAAGACAAGAAGCAAAACCCAGAAAGCATTAAGTAGCTTCATAACTTTGTAACAGGGGATTACTAGCTAATAATGGGCAGGTATTTTTATATTCATTTTACAGATTAACAAATGGTGTGAGGGAGAAATTAAATCATTTGAAAAGCACAATCCAATCAAGTGGATTGAGACCAAAACCCTATACTTTCATCACGTTGGAATTCCATGCTGCCTTTCTGCTGGCTAGCTCCTCGGTATTTCCCCTGCTTGCATTTTTTGTTGTTGTTTTGTTTTGTTTTAAAGAGACAGGGTCTTGCTATATTGCCCAGGCTGGTCTTGAACTCATGGGTTCAAATGATCCACATACCACTGCACCTGGCTGGCCAGCTCCTTCGAGTTTAACTTCTCTAGTTCAAGAATTACACTATCAGACACCCAGTAATGTAATTTTCAATGTTTCCCTTTTTAAAAAAATGACTTTCATGCATTCCAAGCATCTCTCATTTTCAAAGATCAACTTTCTCTGGAAATGGGATCCGTGGAACTGCATTATAAATAGATTCAAATGAACTTCCTAGACATGCCAGTACTTCGTGGAGAAAGGGCAGAGGAAGCCAGTCCTGATGGCAGCAGGGCCCGGGGGATAGGCAGGGCAGCTCTGGGATCAGACGGGGCTAGAATCTTAGCAAGTGTCACCAGCCCCTGCTTGTCAGACACTGAACTCGGGGAAGATACTGTCACCAGTCAGGTTCCCCGGGAAGCACCTCGGGATGGAGCTGTGCATGCAGGAAGTTCACTGAGGACTGCTGAGGGCCCACGCCTACAGGAGGTGAAGGAAGCAGGACCTGGGAGAAGCATCAGCGGAGCTGCAAGGGTGCCACCACGACGGCCTGGCAATGCCACGGGGCCTCCGCACGCAGCATGACCTTCAGCACTGCCCCAGATGGAAGCAAGGGCCTGGCCTTCAGTCCAGGCAAGAGATCAGCCGGCAGATGCAGCCACCCTGGGAAAGGGGAAGGGGCAGCCCCTGGGCAAGGCAGCTCTCCGCAGAGGGCAAGGCCTGGGCTGGGGCACTCTAGCTGGGCATGGTCAGCAGTCACCACGCCCCAGCAGCTGGGGAGGGAGGGAGTGCTCCGTTTCGGTGTGGGGGCCTGGGGTGCACCCCACACTGCAGAGTCACAGAGCACTCCTGTGCTGGGAGCGCCACCCACACATCTCGACTCTTCTCAGGGTGGTGGACACTGGTCCTGATGGTTCGACCACTAGATGATTTGACTGCACTGAATAAAGATCTCTATCAGGTGCGTCTATCTATACAGCTTTCTTTAGTTGAGAATGATGGACAAAAGTATGAAGGAAATAGAGGTAGAGATCAACTAGGAACCAAGGTCTCATCCTATACATCTGGCCATAAGAATAGAGAAGGTAAAATAAAGAGAACAAGGGAATAGGTTGGTAGACCAAGAATTCAGTACGTTAAAAATAAAAGCAAGCTGTGAGGTGAAGACATGGCTTAAACATTCCAGCATTATAGTTATTTTTAGCAGGTTCTCATAACAAAGAATATATCTTAAAGAATGATGTCCTTTGAGCAATCATTTAATCCTTCATTCAAATATTCATATACCAATAACATAGAGACATGGGCAGATATAGAATTAGGTCATTATAATAAAGTCTGAACAAATTCCAGATACATTAAAGCTGTACAGGTAGTTCTGTTAGACACCAGCAAAAGTGCAGAAGTGGCCTTACACGTAGGAAGATCTTTGGCATGTAAAGTAACATTTCTCTTGGCTTTTGGTGAAATTTCTCACTGAATTTGGTGACTATGTTTTCCATTCAATAAAATTATCTTCAATAGTGCCTCAGAAGAAGGAAAAGGCAAAAAGAAAGAATGAAAGGAAAGAAAGAAAGAATGGTAGATTATCTTGAGTGCTTCAAAACAACAGATGCAAGGGTGGAGAATGGTAGAAGAGTCGAGACCCTGCCTACCCACCTTCGACTGCGTATCCCCTAGCACTGGGGAGACTCAGCACGCTTCGCCGTGTGAGGTCCATTGGGAGGAGAACAGCCTGGTTAGACACTTTGTACGGCTTTCACGGGTACTGGAGGAGCAAAGGGAGGCTTCAGGCGTGAGGTCCGGCCCTGGAGGCACTTTTGGCCCAGAAGCACGGGGCCCACCAGGGTCTCCTCTGCAGTGGGGCTGGCAGGAGCTGACAGCTGCTGGGCTTGCAGGCCTGCCTATCCTTTCTGGCTCCAATGACAACTCTCCCTCCTCAGACCCCTGCACACTCTGTGGCCCCTGCGGCAGAGACAGCACAGCCTCACGGCCCGACACACAGGCCCGAGGCTGCGGATGCAGAGAAACCCTCCTTCCTGCACAGCTCAGCCTCGCCAGCCAGCCCCACCGAGCCTGCCTGCTAAATGCCTCATGTCCACATTCTTTCCAACCTTGTCGTCCATCCTGCCCCACTCTCTGTCCTGCATTCATTCTCACTCCACTGTAGCCAAAGCAATCTTTCTAAATGTAAATGCAATTCTGTAACTCCCTTGTTTAAAATTCCTCAGACCAAAAGCACAAACCACCAAAGGAAAAAAAAAGTAAATTGAATTTCAT